ACAGCGCTGCGGAAGAGACGCGGGGTTGGCACAAAGGCTAGGGGAGCAAGGAAAGGGCGGGGGGGGTTTCGTGGGTGGCAACGTGGAGACCCCGGACCCGGCGGAAAACGCGTCGGCCGGACACGCGGGTGACGCAGTTCCGTCAGCCTGCCCAGAAGGTATTATAGCGGGATCCCGAAACCTAGCTCGATCTTCTGTTTTGGCTGATTCTTTGGGCGCCGTCCGGTAAGGCGTCGTGTGGGTGTGCGCGGCGTTGCATTCGTTAATGCATAGGCGACCGAGGCGGAACCGAAAGCCGGCCGTGCTACGTCGTGACCGGTAGGTGCGGATACTCGCCTGGTATGCTCGCGTAAGGTACTGGTGCATCACACCGAACATGGTAATGCAATTTACGACAGCGGTGCTGGGTTAACCAGGGCAAGATTCCTTCTTGTACGGTCGTTATATTTGTAAATATTGTATATAGTGATTATTGGTGTCGGAGGTATTTTATTTCTAATAAATACTAAATATTTACAAGCCGTTCACGTCTGTAATTTATTGCCCCGGCAAGACGCCACAATATCAACTGATTACAATTATTTACCGAAGTGAATGATCTACAGCAGGCGTCTGCATTTTTGGCATCCGGATCTATTTTCTTTCCTTTCACTTTATTCTTGGTCGCAGGCCACTGCTACAAGGCTCAAACACCCAATGATATTTCATTTCCTCTGGTTTTGCTCTAGTTGGTTGGATTAACAAGAAAATGAACATGTAAGAGCAAATGTAAAAGTAACTTGTGGTGCTACAACAGCCCATACTTTTTCTAAAACGGATACGGTCAAGTAATTTTATTTTACACATTCCGCCCTAATAAATAAGTAGAACGTAACAAGTAACGTAACAACACCGTTACTACCGCTGTTAGAAAAAGAAGTAACATTCCTTCAATTTCTTCTGTAACATCACAATCTAAAAGGAGTGTATATCGTCAGATGTGTTATAGCTGAAAGAATTAAATGGCCGAGTCATATTCAAAGAATGCACGTAAACAGACTCCCAGAGAAGAACGGGGGACAACAGGTGAAAGGGAAAGAGGAAGAATAAAATCATGGTAGATGGATGACGCGTGACATGTTAACAGTGTTGGGCCAACACTGTTAGGAAAAGATGGAATGACTTAATTGGGAAAGCTAAGCCCTCGGTAGAATAATAATAATAATAATAATAATAATAATAATAATAAGAAGAAGAGAAGAAGAAGAAGAAGAAGAAGAAGAAGGAAGAGAAGAAGAAAGAAGAAGAAGAAGAAGAAATCAACCACTTCCGTGTGGCCGGAAGGACGGCCTCTGTCTCGCCTCGCCGGCTGGCGCCGGCCGTGCTTGCAGGAGTGGGTCAGGACGGCTTCCTCGCCGAGGAGAGGAATGTGGCGAGCGGCGGGCTGCTGTTACGCCACTCGCTTACGCACCCCCCCCCCCCGTGCGAGCTCGCGCTGGCTCACTTTCGACGCGGGCTCTGCCGACGTCGCGCCCGCCGAGGGGCCTCTGACCGGGGGGTTCTAGGGTTCCAATCTCGTCAGCAGCACCATTTCTTCACATTAGTTGGGTAGCTACAGCGAAGGCTGCTCGCTAGTTTTCGGCAGTTTCTCCGATAAACACAAGGCGGGCAACTGGCACGGACGGGACACGAACCGCGCGCGATCTTTCTTTCCTATTCCTTCTTCTATCCTCACCCGTTACACACCCAGGCTGGGGCGGGGCCTCTTCTGGCGGGAGATTCTTGACGGGAAACAGACCCGTAAGCCGCCAACAACACAGCCACCTCTCATGCACTACACTTACGGGGCAAAGGTCCGCGCCTGTTAACGCGCTCGTCAGAGGAGTATACCCCCCAGAAGTACTTCACTCTTTCCGGACAATACGCCTCTTGCCTGGCCTCTCGTTCTCGGCCCTCGGAGTCGACTCGCCACGCCTTCAGCTAATGGAAACAAATCGTACATTCCTCTGCGCACCGCCCATCTCGGTGATGTGTTCTCACTTTTAGAATTACGATACGATCAGAGGTCGAGGTGGTTGAGGCTGGAGGGCCTTAGCTGCCTCGGCTCGAAGGGTCGCGAGTTCGAATCCCATCTCGGGCACGGACGGTCGCGTGTGTTTGTGTCGCCCTAACGTGTTTTCGCTACGGTTTAAAAATCACAGTGGTCGCCATATGAGCAAGACGTTGAAAACAGTCCTTAAATAAGGGGAGCATGTCAACATGCAATTGTTATAATAACGTTCCCACACAGAAACTACCTCAGAATGTTATGTGCATGAAAATGTTTCGCTAATACTAAATGTACTGTCCACATTTCTAAAAATGTTTCTAATAAAATTTAATTTTCAGGCATCGAAAATAGCCAGAAGACAGCGAATATCGCAAAATCAATTATAGAAACCAAACGAAGAAAGTTTTAAAAATTAAATACTTATTGTATTATCTTCTTTTGTGAACTAGCGTTATGAACCGAACAGAGGGTTCGATCTTGGCCCAAGACAGAATTATTCAAACCATAAATTTCCTTTCAGTGCTTGGAAGAAGAGATAATAATTCAGCGATCCAAATCTAGTACTAAGAAATGCGGGAAACTTCAAGCTGGACTATTATAATATTTTACAATTAATTGCAATGCTCTTTTATTTTAAAAGAAGCTTTTGGTCGAACTACACCTCTCTTCCAATACAATTTTAATGCATATTAAGAGAAAAAGTTCACTCCCAGCTTACATAGTGTTCTGACGGTGCCAGTTCCTTCTTGGACACACGCCACAAAGTATTTGACCTGGCGTTTCGACGTTGCGACGTTTCGGTGTTGCGACCGCGCGATTTTTGCTTTTTTGCTGCATCTACTATGACGAATATCATAGGCGTACGCAGCCAAAAATCCTCATGTGTGTGTGTGTGTGTGTTGTAAGAATCGAAACTTTTTTTTAGTCAAAATTTCATTTTCAATCCCAGCATAGCTGTGGTGAGACAAACATCCCATTTCAAATTTCGAAGAAGAGAAAAGATTGCCCATTACACGTATGAATCGCACTTTACCTTCTCACATCTCCTGGGAAATGCAACGCGCTAACCATCAACGTGCCATCGCGAATGGAAATCAAACAGGACAGGCGCAGTTCGTGGCTGTCAAATGTTAAGCACCTTCCTTGGAATATACACACCTCATAATAAAGAAGAGAAAAATCGTTGAAACTTGCCTGATACGATGAAATTCAAGAATATTACTTACATAGGAGTTTCAAAGGGGGAGGGGGGGTAACAACACATATCTGCCCTCCACCTCTCTATTGAACTTTTTTATTTACATATTTGGCATTTGATAGTAAATGAATAAAGTACATCACAAAGAATTAAATAATAAAACGCGTTGCAAGAAAGCCATGGGGCTCCCTTTAATTTTCCCACGCCCCTTTCCCCCTGACGCACGCCTATGGTTAGATATGCATTATTGAAGGACGTGATGGTAAGACCGGATGTAGAATACCTAGCGAATTGAAATAATGAAGTTGATTACCTCCTGGCAATTCCATTGCAGTGAATTTTCAATAAGAATCATACATTTTGCCAAGAGTAGCTTCATGTCCGTGAGAGGAAACACTTCCACCGAAGTTCCAGCAATGCAAAACAGCATATTACTAATTAATAGTTACAAGATGTAAACAAGATACGTTTTTGAAACACTTAAAATCGTTAGACGTCCCTCCCCGTTTAATCAATTCGGGTGGTTGCAGCCTCCAGGTAAGCAACGGACGCAGGCGCTGTAGGCGGAAGATGCACGTGCGCCAAGTCTCCTTTCCCTCCGCCATCCGCTCCCCATCCACGGGGATGACACCCGCTCGGCCAGTGACCCAGGACCCGCGCGGCGAAGCCCGCGGGCGGCGCTGAGCACTCCGTCACGGCTGCTTCGCAGTGCACCGGATGGGCTGATGGGCAAAGCACGCACAGGCAGCAGCCATCCTATCCTACCCCTTCCCTCTGCTCTCCTCTCCACACTCCCTCCTCTTCCTTTGCTCGGTCGCTTTGTTCGAAGGCGCGAGAAGACAGTCCTTGAAACACGCACATCACAACGAAGTCGCGAGACTCAGAACTTGTGATTGAATTTTATAAATCACACCTTGCAAACAAAGAATCGAATTGAATGCCATCAAGACAAATGTCAACACGAGACAATGTCACTGCATGTCACGGTGAAATGTAATGCCAAAAAATCAACCTATCAATTTCAACAACGAAGAAAAATGTAAATACTGAAAAATGGAAATCAGTTGTCGACTTTGACACGTGTTAATGTGGCAACTGGCAATCTCAATAAAACAAAACGCTGGAGAAAAACTGCTTGGCTGATGATATGTCAGTTTTTAACAAGGATTGAAATAAACTCGATTAAAGAATCAATAAATAAACGATTTGAAAATTTCTAAAACAGTATGTTAAAGTAGTGGGAAATAATACAAATATCATTAACATTATTCAATTCCTTTTTTAATGTTGCAAAATCACAACAAACAATACATAATATTTCTTACCTCTATAATGTGTCCCAGTATATTCGGCAGTTGCTGCATTCCACAAAACAAAGAATACACAGCACCATATAAACCATCTCCCTGGTTTCGCCATAGTTCGGAAAATGCGGGCTTTAATTGCACGCCGCCACCCCCCACTTAAGCACGACGGCAAACTTTCTGCACGTACCCTTCTACACTCATCTTCACTCACAGCTCGACTGACCAAGACCACGGCACCGACCGCACGGTCTGCCCCCTCCGAGTGCCTACTGTGAAGCTTTCAGCAACGGACGCCCAACATGCATCACAAGACACTTCTCCGAGAGTGTAACGCTGCCATCTACCGGGTGTTTCGAGAAATACGACTATTTCGTCAATGTATCCATGGGAACGAATTTTGAACATCCTTCCTCAATCCTTGATTTAGAAGGGACTCCAGAATACCTGTTTTAACTATATTTTATTTCTTTTGTGTACACTAAAAAAAGATCTTATAATTCTTTGTCATTGACTGTCTTTGTCATTTACTACTTTTTTACAGATTACCAGCGTGATTTTTTCAACATAGAAGAATATGTTGAAATCAAAGGAAACCGACAATGTATCAGAAGGAGTTATTCGGGAAATAATTACCGATTGTGCTTCCAAAGGGGTGACAGTTGATGAAGCATTGGCAGCTTATGTGGTAAACTCGCTATAATGTAGTCATTTTTTTAAAATAATCATTTTGAAATCTTCGAGGGTTGTAATTAATTACAATAAGTGTTACATGTACATTTAAAATGATTTTTTTAATATAAAAAATAATTTTAAAAATGATTTACAGTTCTTCATTGTAAAGTATGATTGGATTCAGACATTTGAAAAACTTAGGAGTTTAAATTCATCAATGAATTCTTTCCTATCTTTTTAAACGTTTATTTGAACTATATTTAACTTCTTATATAATTTTGAATTATCCTGTAATAAGGGAAGGCTCATGGCAGCAATATTACAAACTATTACTCATAAGTGTCAAAATTGTGATCTTATAATTTTTAAGTAGTGATTTTTAATTTAATATTTTCTATTGTAGGTGATTCCCACAATTAATACAAGGCAAAATTATTTTTATCTATGAGCTTTTTCTTTACAAACAATTATATATAAAATAAGAAAATTTCATAGCCTGATGCAGCTACACTGTCAGATTCACAGATATCTAGAAATAAAAACAAACAGGGGTGGATCCAGAGACAAATTTTGGGAAGACGAAATTCAAAATGTTTAGGACAAATGTGTCATATTACAGATTTTGTAAAACAGGCTACACTGAGCTCAAACTGCAATACAATTTTATTTGTTTTAATCATTATTTGAAAATATTTTTTATTGAAAGTTTCGTGACAAGTTAAAATGAAGTTACTGAAAGATTTTAGGGGAGAAATACCCCTCATTTCGCTCCCCATGGACACACACATGAAACAAACAAAAAGTTTTTAAAAGAATTATTGTAATATGGATCTTCAAATAGTCAGAAAACTCATAATATTTTTTTTATTTGTAAGTATGAGGCACAGGAGATTGTAAAAACTTAGCTTTAGTCTATGAAAAGTTTAAAAAATCAAATAATTTAAAAACAAACTGATAACACAATATTCTTACAAACATTTTAAAATGTTTAATTCAGCCTTCAGTGTATCAAATCATCATTCTTCTACAAAAATTCTTTTGTACAAACATGAAGGAATGAGTGATAATCCAAGACCATGTGGTCGGCTAAATGATAGAGTGGATCGAGTAGTCAAGTGAGAACCACCTGCAATAGTAGCATGACACAACCAGTAGGCTACATTTAGCAGTTATTTTTTTCTATGAATATACATTTTTAACATGAAATTTGAAATACATAACAAAAAATTTGTCTGAAACTTACTCTCGTTTCAATTTCTCCTCTATGATTCTTGCAGATAAAGTTAACAGTGTTAGATCCTGCTCATGGATTCATACAAGATCAACCTCTTGGAACTGAAGATCTGTGTAAGCTTGTGGCCCTCTGCATAGAGAAACTCCTAAAGGAAAATTGTCCATATCTTTCCACAATAAAAATGCAAGTGGAATTTCAAACTCATCATCGAACCAGAAGTGCGCTTACCATTTTATATTTGTAAATAGTACCGCATGAATATTCAGTATTTGTTGATTTAAAAAAATACATAAAATACATTAATCACACAATCATCTTGTCCAACCATTCAATGATATTGACTGTAGGCCAAGTACCATCTATTGAGTGAACCCTAGCAACTATAATTAATTATTAATTATTCATTGGGAAAAAACAGAAAAGAAAAAAGAAATTCAAATTAGCCTATTGGCAACTATAAATCACAAAAATAGATCTTTCAAATGTCTGTGAAAATTTTACATTACACATCAGCTATTAGCATACACAATACGGCTAGATTCATTAGGATATTTAGTATTTTCCTTCACCATTCTTACGATTACAAATAACTAATATATTTTCTTAAATACCATTAACTGATAAAATTGATATAATACTAATAAAAATAAAACTGATATACTGGTAACTGAATAATATTAACAAATTATATGGCAATATGGCCAATATGCAATTGGCAAAGATGGGAAAAAATTCTATAATTCTATAACATTCTATAATATGTCAAATAGGCCAAAGGCAATAGTAATAGCAAAATGGCAAATAGGTAATTGTCTTGTAGAAGAACAAAATCTACATAATCAAAACAAATGGCAAACATTCTATAATTAACAAATAACCAATAACTTTCTTTAAATACCATTAACTGAGAAAATAATCAAATTAAATTATTATTTTGTAGCAAAAACAATAATATAAAATGGCAATTGGCAAAAGGGAAATTAAGTTTTACATAATAAATATATAAAAAATTTCTAATTACTAAAATGTACATTTATGAAGAAAATATTTTTTTTTCTAACTTTCTATTTTTATGTTGGCCTAGTATACCATTCTTTTAATTTAATTTTTAATACCCTTGCAGTCGTAATTTCTAATATTCATCTGGCAGTGAGTTTTATCTCTCTCTTCTCTCTCTCTCTCTCTCTCTTCTCTCTCTCTTCTCTCTCTCTCTTCTCTCTCTCATCTTCTCTCTCTCTCTTCTCTCTCTCTCTTCTCTCTCTCTCTTCCTGCTCTCTCTTTCTCTCTCTCTCTTCTCTCTCTCTCTTCTCTCTTCTTCTCTCTCTCTCTCTTCTCTCTCTCTTCTCTTCCTCTCTCTCTCTCTCTTCTCTCTCTCCCTCTCTTCTCTCTCTCTCTCTCTTAATTATTATTATTATTAATTATTTTTATTACTACTACTACTACTATTCTTCTAATTCATGATGCAGTCCCTCTGACCGGGAGGTCCTAGGTGCTAAGATTTTCGGCACTAGCTTTTCAACTAGATCGAATTCACTGTCTGGGCGAGAATTCTGTCAACCGGCTTCTCTGATCAGTTGTTTTCCTTGGTTTCTCCGATCAACACCTGGCGAATGCCGGAGCAGTACCCTAACAAACGGGCCACGGACCGCTCACGACCTATCGTACCTCTTCCTTGTCCTATCCTCACCCCTTACACACACTAAGAAGCACTCGACTACCACACGTGCGAGAAGACTGGTCAGGAGCTTAGAGCTTGTCGTGGGTGGGGAGGAGCCCCGCTGATGGGAGATACCTGGGTAGTTGAGCTAAATTCTTGGACGTCTTCCCACGTGCGGTGGGTTTACGCCGCTACGGCAAGCGACGCCGGACTCTCGCTATGGGCCCCTTCACACGCCGCCAGCACCGCGACTCGTACCAGCACATTGGTTTCAAAGGAGACGTGCAGCGGGCGGACGCTGCTCTGGCAAGCGGCGGTGGACTCTTCTACGCGAAGCGGAGGAGGGCGCACGCGCCACCGCTAGCAGAACACAGCTTTAAATGGCAGGCTTCCCATTATGCGCTGCGTTTTACCTTCTGCGGTCCCTTTGTTTGTCGTCGCCGGAGGGTCGGCGAAAACTACCCCTGCAGAACCCACCCCCTTCCACGGCGGGCGGCGGTGCGGCCGTGGCTGCCGCGGGGGTGGCGTCGGAAGCTTGACGGACGCGCGCCGACGTGGGAAGGCGCCCTTACACAAATTTTGCGGATAATCTCAGAGCTCTGATATCTATTGGGACGACTTGTGCTCCCCCTCCTCTCATTCGGCTGATCTCGATTTCCAAACCCTTGCATTTAAGATGGACATCTCCGCCTCGGCAGGTGAACAAGTAAACACGTTTTTTTTTCTCAAATCCCAAATAACAATATCCGATTTGTTTGCCACTATCGTGTGATCAGTCGTACAGTATTGAACACATTCCAACAGACGTTACCTGTTTTGGTGAGTGTCCGTACCACTGGGAGCTTGTGTTCGGAACTTCGAGCGATTAGAGATCTGTAAGTGAAGGTAATTATCATTATATCGTCTCCTTTCAAGTCTTCGGCCGTTGCAAGAGTTGAATAAGCTGAGACAAAATGTCAATGGTTCCTGGGATATGCGACAGGCATTTATCACCTTGGGAAATTTTGAGAACCTCTTTATCATGTCGTGTTCTCAATACCTGATCTTGGGAAGCAATTTTGTGCCTCGTTAATGATTGATATACACCTTGTCCATGCTTTTTACGTACTGACCATGAGATGGTTCCTATCCATGGTTTCTTTAACATTTTTTGTCTCGCATTTCATGTAAAGTAGCATCGGAAGTTCAGTGTCTGTTATTTTGCGTGCCTTTCATAGTTTTCTTTGCAACGCTTACAATGCCCGTTTTCCATTCTTCTGTCAGATTTGTTGACCTGCCTCGTTAGTGAGTCATCTTCATCACTGACTACCATACTTTCCCATCCCTACTATTCCGCTGTGCCAGGAGACTTGAATTTGCCTGAGGTCTCTTCCTCCTCCCTTATGTGACACACACATGAACACCAACTCGAGGGTGGGCAATATGATGTATTGTAAGCCGTTTTGTTTTTTCGATCCATGATTCGAATTTCTTGCTCAGTTCAGTCTCTTGTGCGAAAATGTACTCGTCTACAGGCACCGCCAAACTACCAATTGTAGATATTTTATTCCTGGAGTTCAGAGCGGACTGCAGGAAGAGTCTCACTCTTCTGTAATACTCACTGTGAATTTTCTCTTTCATTATGTCATTCTAGATGTTCTCATATTCAAGGCCCAGTTATTTATAAGTTTTACCTGGCTCAAGATCTTATATCACAGTGTGCATATCAACTTCAATGGTCTCTAGTCACTTTGCCTCTCTTTAAATTAACTTTTGCACATTTGTCAAGAGCAAATTCTTAGCATACACATTAAGGTAATTCATGGAGGGGAAGGAAAAATAAAATAAAAAGTGAAATGATACTGGTATTTCATCACCCTGAAGCTTATAATCAAAGTCAATATGCAACAACTTTCTACTGGAATCAAACTAATACAAATTATTGTTGTTGTTGTTGTTATTATTATTATTATTATTATTATTATTATTATTATTATTATTATTACTATTATTATTTATTTTCAATAAGTACTTAGTTATAGGATAATGCCAAATTTTTTAAAAATATTTACAACTTTCAAAAATTTAGAGAATTAAAGCAAATTATGCCTCTTGTTAGCAACCTTTGCCTTATCTGCGGAAATAGTTTAAGCAAATAATTTGAAGTCATTTTTGAGAAAATTCAGAAAACGAAGTTATTACTTTGTGTAAAGTACCCCCAAAAACCAAATGGTTGGCCACTGACCAACTGACGGATGGTTTGCTGTCAATTAATTTTTCGATATCAATAACACAAATCATGAATTCTGAATACACAATGTGTTAGAAAGAATAGTTTACTATGTAGGACATCAACAAAACTTATCCTTTTTTGATATCCCTGCCTCAGAGAACGACTGACTTTTTCTTCTTCTTGCCGATTTCTGCTGCTACATTAGTAGCTAATCTCAAAAGTCTGTTTACTATGCGAGTATGCAGGAAGGCGAGAAAATAATTAGGAAATAAACAATGCTAAATAGAGGATTCAGAAGAGAATACAGGCAAAACAATTATTTTATATACGTCTTTTAAAAAGTCTTAATTTAGAACTAGTAGCCCTAACTAACCAAAGCCCTAAGAACCAAAGCAGGAAAAAAAAATCTTTGTAAATACACATTCTTTCAAGAAAATTCATAAAATAAAAACACACTTTTTTCTGATACATTCAGACATATTAGATTTTGTCTTTAATTTACATTGTGGTTTTAATATTTTGTAGATAATATAACTTTTGTGTGAAATGTTTAATGAAATGTTAATGTAAATTTATATATTTCAGAACAACAGGTAGCAGAGATTGAAGCAAGTATTAAAAAGAGTACAGGTCCCCTATTGAGAGAGATTACAGATGCAAGTTCAAAATACAAAGATGATCTAGAAAAGCTTTATAAGAAGATAATAGCAGCTATTATTCTCAGATCTGGCCTTGGAAATCCCACAAATATTGGTGTAATGAAGGAAGCAACAGGTCCTCAAGATGCAGTCTTTTAACATTAAATGCATTACTTTTGTACTAACTTTCCAGAATGAAACAACTATTACTGTCATTTCAGCTGCTCTACAAAGTGTCTTCCCACCTTCAGAATTAGGACAGTTTCTAGCTCTGACACGAAGAGAAAAAGAACAGCAAGTTTATGAACTTACTCAAATTGTGACGGGAATCAGACTTTTCAATCGTGATTGCCAAAAAGGGGGTGAAGGCATAGATGATCGTAAGTTATGAGCTCATATTAAAAATGAATTAAATGTAATAGTAATTCTGAATATTATCATCTTATATAGGACAGGCGCGGATATTTCCAGTGGGTGAAAAATTTCCTCCCCTAAAATTTTTCTGTAACTATTAATTTTGACTTGTCATAAAACATTCAAGCAAAAATATTTTCAGATAATTATTAAAACAATCAAATCACATTGCAGCATGAGCTGAGTGCATCCTACAACATTTAACAAAGTCTGTAATGACACATTCGACCAAAACATTTTTAATTTCCTCTCAAAATTTGTCTCTGAAACCGCCCCTGTATACATGCTAAATTTTTGTGCTTAATTTATTTTAGTGCCACACATTCTGGATGAGGCAAATCATGCTACCCAGGAGGCTCTCAAGACATATTTACATAAAATCATGCAACAAATTGATACATTAACCACTACCCTTGAAATTCATTTACACAAACAAAATGAAGATAACACAGCAGAATCACAAGGAGAAGAGGAGGATTACATTGAAGTTCCAGATGAAGAAATAATATTCCTCAAAGGTTGTCTTATTGCTGCTAGGCAGCAAGAAATTTACACAAGGTATAATTTTCCTTTATCCTTTTCTTGAATTTATTTGTGTGGATTATCAAATACCAATGTATCAAATGAAGAATATAATATCAAAAGGTAAACAGTGATGTAATTTGATGTGTTCTTTGGTAATTTATCTATTCTGACAACTACAATAATACAATTATTGAAAATAAAATATTAATGTAAAAAATGTGTACATTGGAAGTTACTGATTTATAATCAAATAATTATGTTACTTTTCAACAAACAATTTTATCGTCATTAATGTCTGTTTTGGGAATGATTGGAAATGAATTTATATGAACAACTACTAATATTTACAAATAAAGCAGTGATTCTACAGATTGGCACAGTCTTTCTCATACTAGTTAGTTTACTAATCTTTTCTGACTAAGCTATCTTTTCAACATTGCCCCACCTTCTTTCCAGCTGCCATCAGTTGTGCTTAAAAGATATTTTTTCAGATTTTCTCAAATTTTTAATCCCCTAATAGTAGAATTGAAATATGACTTTAAGAATATTAAAGAATAAGAAGTAAAACTTGGACATGTGTGCAAATTTTCATTGAAAAATTTGGAACAGTATTTGAGAAAATGTTATTTTAGTATTTCTGAAAATATACAATTTTGAGTTCCTATTCACAGAAAGCTTTTCGATTTTCATGAAAGTTCATAAGGCATAATCTGAAGCACTTGTAATAATGCAATAATGTAAGCTAATGCTATAATGTACAAAAAAAGGTCTGTAATGTAAATACTATCGACTTGAGAGATATTTTGCAATAAAAAAATCAGAGTAAACAGTCAGTACTGGACCTATGCCATCTTTATAATCGTATGTATCTCTATTCTTGCAAAAAACTTGAAAGTAAGAAAAAAGAAAAGAAAGGGAAAAAAGAAAAATTGGAACTATTTTGAAAATATTCCAGAGCTTTCATATGTAGTACCTCCAAAATTTAAAAAATTAATTTCAAAATCACAGAATAAATATAGAGGGTGCCAAAATAATGTATACACACTCCAAGCAAATAAAAACCTGTCTTAACATAACAAAACTGAATTCACACAAACAGAAAATGATGAGGATAATCATTTTAGACTTTTACAAGTACAACCATTACAACGTATATTCAAATATAATTCTAAAGATTATATTCATTGTCAATTTCATCACTTTACATTTCACTTCAGGAAACTACTGGCTGAAGTAGTCTCATCAGAAGGAATTCTTCAAGAATTATTAGATCATTTGACAAAGAGGCTAGTACAGCTTCATGATACTGTTCGCTTCAGAACAGCGATACCTACAGTTGAAGTATATGTAAGTATTTAAAATTAAAATCAAAAAGAGTTACATCACTCTCAAAACAAATAACTTAGAGAAATTCATTCTGATTTAAACTGAACATACTTAACTGAGAATTAAACCTCCAACTTATATCATTAACATATACCATTTGGTCTTTCTTCCCTTCTTTTAGCCACAGTTCATTGACCTTGCAGAAATTTGGACTAATTTTCAAGATGAAATAGTTCTACTTAGCAACACCAATAACTTGGTTTGGAATCTACAACGTTACATGAAGGTTATTCAACATTTTCTTTCCAAAAATTTTTTTAATCTACTCTACTTATTTATTATCAATTATTTTATATTAGTAAAGAAGAAAGTTGCTATAATTTTCATGTTTTGGGTGGCCCAACCTATTAATGTTTTAGTCATGAACAGGTGCCAGTTAATTTTCAATGACTAATTAAAATGTGACAACTTCTTCATGTGAATACGTAAATCTTTACTTTGTTTGTAACATTAATATATCAAAGTTTAAAGTTCAATTGAGATAGTTTAACCTAGAAAAATTCAGTAGCCCTGAGGTATCAATTAACTCAGTCTAAATTTCTTTAATTCATTTATTAATAAAAGAATACATTTCAACAATATGGAGAGGGCCTCTTAATGTTTTAATACCAATGGCCACATTTTTTCAGTAAACATTTTGCCTTCCTTCCTTGCTTGTTAATTTTTTTTTCCTCCTAGAAGCTCTTTAATATTCATTACTAGAGAGAGGATTTTTCTGCCCTAAAAAATCTTGAAATATGTTTTTAAAAATATGCATTTATGACCTAAAAAGTTCTGAAATATGTACTTTAATACCCAATTAAAATTAACAATATATATTTCATTTCCTCTATAAACCTTTCTTGATAAAATTCAGGAGAAGCATGCTTGGAATGAAAAAATATATTTTTGTGCAAACATAATATAATCCACCCAGAAGAAATAATTGAAGTAAATATTCATCTTGGGGGAGAGCATTCAGTAACAAGTCGGGGGGGGGGGGAGAGAGAGAGGCATGGGGCCATACCTCCCCACCCACCTAGAGTTTTCATTTGCTTCTTTCCCTTACTTGGCAAAACTGATTTAAAAATTTATTTATGATAAAATTGTTTAAAAATAATAGTGTATAGTATCAGATATACAATAATATACCAAATGTGTTTATTATTTTCCAACAATCTATGATCCCCCCCCTCCCGCATGTTGGACTGGATCTACCCCTGAATACATTGTATGTCGTCTTGTATTTTTCCTGACTGGTTTAAAAAATATGTTATTAAGAAATATCCTACATTTGCACAAGTAATTTACCGTCTATAGGAGAAGAAAAAAAAAAAAAAAAAAAAAACCACACACACACAAAGTGTGACAAGCTCTTTCCAATCAATGACTATGCTAACAAATAATCGATTCGATGAAATATTCTATTGATAAGTAAAATTATAGAAATACACTTTCTATTTACAACATTAAGAAATTAGAAAAATAACACTGATATTGACCTAAAAACTAGTCACAAAAAAATTAAAATATTAACTAAATCACAGTTTGATCATAAAAAAACAATACAATTATGAAATATATTCACACAAAAAGTACAAAATAGAATGTAGGCGCTGACACATACCAGATGTCATGGAATATTAATGTTATGGTAACATTACATTTTGTGTGCAGGTATTAGATCTAATTGACATGGACATTGTAAAATATTTAATTGGGAACAGGCAAATTTTGACTGACGTTGACAGACTTAGTAACAAACCAGGTCTCTCAATTAGCGGAAAGTTAGACACATCCTGTGAGCACATATCACCATCTGCAGCTAACTTTAATGATTTCTCTCCACAAGTAAGTTTATAAATAATATTTTCCACACCTGTTGAACTTAATACAAAGATTGATGTTATTCAATGGCTTTTGTATTATGTCTTCAAATGACTGGCAATAAGTTACATTCCACAGTATTTAGGATTCTGTGCTTGGGCTGTTGTTGCTGGAGAAGGAATTCTTATTCCAGGAAATCTGAACATTGGTTTAATAAGATGGAATGATAACTATTATGCTTGTTCTACTGCAGAAGCTGCAGTTTTATTTGGGCAAAATCCTGAAAGGTATTTTTCTCAATAATTTTAAGATTCATTTAAAAATGTATACAAAGGTGCCATAAAGAGAAGCCGAAACTGCAATTAAGAATATTGTAGTTTAAATCCTCCTGGGCTTCTTTCTGTGAAAGGACATTTGAGACATTTTGATTTTTGCATGTCAGTATTTAAATTATGAGGAAGGTGTTGTGATATTTAAAAAATAATTTGTTTCTTAATTCTGCTATTATAAACAGAGAATTTGAATATATAATCTTTGCTATAAAAAATCTTTTACAGAGAAACATTTCCATCACAATTTATTTGTTTAATTTTGGGTATAAATGAAAATCATGCATTTTCTCGGTCACACAACCAGGGAGAGGTGAAATTACCAATCATGCACATTAAAATGATATATCTTTCTAGGCACTTAGTGCTACTCAAGTCGATATTACCAAATGAAAGGAAAATGTCAATTAGAATTTTGATACTATCAACTAATATTGGTTTCAAGCATTGCCCTTTATTCTTCCAGATTTGTCACTGATGCTCTCAACCTAGCTCGAAGAATACCAGAATTGGTGGAATTACTTCAATTGCAAGATCAACTTGCCCAACAGAAAGACATAAGGGAGTATGTACAAATTTATTTTAAGATAGTATATACAACTCATGAAAGTTAAAAAGGTTAAACTCACTTAATTTTCTTTAAATTACAAATGTAATTTTTAAGTATATTGTTATCAATGGTTTTGTACTGTATTTGGATGAAGCCATTGCAACAGCTAATTTACAATGTTAGCAAGGGCTATTCACAAATAATAATTTCATTAAATACTATTGTCATTCACTTACTGCCTTCCTAATTGGCTTCTGGAAATGCTACTCTATTTCTAAAATGTGAAGAACAGAAATGCAACAGGGCAGGGGAAGGATGACCCAAAAATAAGAGTGTAGGAATTGCAACAGTGTGCAGGAAGAAAAAGGGGATGAGGATCCTCGAAGACTGAAGAGAAAAAGCTAAAATATCAGTTAGCCCTACGTCTAAAGAAGATAAAATTAATAATGTTAAGAATGATGGAAAATCAAGGTAACAAAATCTAACTACAACCCCAAAAGTAATTTAAATATACCACATATATTACAACAAATAATGAATACAATTGATCTTCATGCAAAAAAATCCATTAATACCAAAATATATCTTGCCTCTTTTATTCAGTATTATTAGTGTTAGTGTTACACAATTAACCTTTTTAACATTCATGAGTTGTATATACTATCAAAAGTGTTACATAATTTTGGGCTTCCTTATAATTCATTGTAAGGAAGTGTAATTTTGCTGCTCTAATTCACAAGTGAAACTCATGTTTTGAACTGAAGAATTTCAAGACACAAAAGCCCTTTGAATTTCTCATCCAACAGCTTTACATATATTTACTCATAATTTCCTTCAACGTGCTTTGGAAACATGTTAAATTGGATATTTATTTAACAGAAGTATTTGCAATAAATCAGTAGTAAATAAAACTTGAACATGACCATATATTTTAATTTTCAAAAGCCTATTCAGGGTAGTCACAAACTTTGAGTCATGAAATTTCATCAGAAAAAGTTTCTCCAATACACTTGTATATTGGATTTGATTGAACAAATTCTTAATGGGTACGCTTTGATTTTTGTATATTTTATACTTGTGATTATAAACTATAAAATGAACTTGGGGAAGGTCGAAGAAAACAATAACTTAGGGGCCCATTTAAATAGGTTCATTACGTAAAGGAAATGAACATAATTTTATGATAGTTCTATCATACATTTCCTTAATATTTCCAGGCATTTTTTAATTCCCTTACTGGCAATCACCCTGCAAAGTATTTGATTATTCTGTCATTAAAAATTCTCATTTCCCAAATACTGCACAATTTGCAGTTTGTCTACTTTATACCAACGATTCTACAATAATCTATTTACACATAGCACTTCACATAGTTCCAAATCATTTGCTCTCATGTGTTTAAATGTAAAATAAGGTGAATAACTGAAAAAAAATAATTAAAAAACATAAAGCATTTTTCTTTTTAAATCAGAAAAGTTGGGAAAGAAATACTTGCAGTAAAACAAGACACTGGCATGCAAACAGTGCTCCATCCAATACCTCCGTGTACTGACAATAAATATACATGGAATGTTTGGAAACTAAAGCGACGAGCCATTCAATTGGTAAGTGACAGCAATCATACACAATTGTAAATTTCACATACATAAAATATTGTTATATGTATCTGTTACAGACTAACATTGCAAACAGTGCAACACACAGCACTCAAACAATTAAAAGTCACTTCAGATCAGAAGTACCATTGCAAGCAGGCCCATCAAAGGAGAAGAGTTGTCAAACTAAAAAAGACAGCTCTACAAATGTCCCAACACTTGGGAGCTTCATATTTGGATTACGTGGAAGAAGAGATGACAAGCAGTTTAAAATACATCTTACTCGACCTGTAGACGAATAGACAACCAATAATATCCGATTCAACATTTGATCCAATTTAACACACACTATCACTTAGAATTTCTTTGAAAAGTATTCTTTGCAATAAATTTTTAACATTTGTTAATGTGAACTATTCAAGTTTGAAATATGAAGATGTGCCATTTATTTCCATGTTACCTCTGTCCAATTCAAGTAACAATTGACATACTATTCATAACTTGCATTATCCTACCTTTAACAATCCATGGCTTCTAGTAACTGAAAGTAAATAAAAAGGTTTCCAGAAAGAATAATGATATTCAGATCGAAATGATGTGAACATACTTGCATAAATATACATTTACAATTAGTGTTTTAATAGTTTATTGAAATTTTCATATCTCGAATACATAATACATCATGTTAATTTTCTATCATTACACTTCTCTACAAATAACTCTTGCATTCAGTGCACAAATCATTCACATCACCATCACTATTAGGAACAAATTTACGGACTTGAGAATACTTTCAATTAACAATTCCTTAGTGGTTTCAAGAAATTTTTTGGGCCAATTTCCCATATCCATTCCCACTTACAGGAATTGTTGGAGGTACACGATTTACCTTTCAATAATTGTTTATGCAAAGTGTATAAAATTACTAATAATTCAGCAATGAACTATTGAAGTAAAAAAAATTGACTATTGACACTTAACTTTCCTATATAAGAATGAATGTATCCAGTTACTAAAAATTTAAGGAGTATACATTTCCAATGATGTAATCAACAAAAATAAATACCAAGAAATTAAAACATTTGTATTCATCTTTCTACCTATTAAGCTCCAAAATTTAATTCCTGAAGGTAAAGAAATTAATTTATGGGATACTTAAATAAACTACAAAAATAAAATACATTATCATTAATCTCACATTTATTCTGCCAAACTTATACAAATTATAAGATGTCCCTTAAGAACAGACAAGTTAGAAAATGTATTCCCTTGTTTGTACCAACACACATTCAGTTCCCATTGATTATTCTGGGAGGATTCAAGTATTCCACACTAGCACATTGTACTCTTTATTTCCAACATCACATCTAGAAATAAAAAAATTACTATTTTCTCCTAATGAAAAGTTTTAATGCAAATTGTCGAACATGTCCTATATTGGACTTGGAGTAGGTAGAAAAAAAAGAAATTAAGTGACAAAAATAAAAATCCAGTCTACAACATACAAATTTACTGAGTAAAAAAATTGTTTATTTCACAGATCTATGTTAAGTGCACAAAACATGACAAATGGGATGTGTTGAAAGGAAAGGATGTCATGACTGGAAGATGAAAGTCAACATTTCTTATTGTTTACAAAATATGGTGCAAATATTGAAAAACAACATTACACAAAGTCTAGACTTAAAAAGAAATTGAATTCTTAAAACAAAACATTGAATTTTTTTGTCGGGGACAAAAGCATTTACACCAAACTACATCTTTATTTACTGCACAATATTTCACTTATAGTTATGATTTCAATTACATTACAAAAATGTTAAAGAAATAAGTTGTACAGCTTTTTTTGCCCACAAAGCAATTGACACATGGTACTTCAGAGCATGATGCCCTGTGGGTGGCCAATATTTCCCATTAGTTCTTTATTAATGGGAAATGGGCAAGGTAAATTAATCAAGGAAATGGTTTTTGAGGTATTTCATCATACCGAATGTGCGGAAACGCTTCACACCTAGTGGGAAAAAAACAACAACAAAAACATTAGTCTTCAGAAGTAACTTGCAACATTTTATATAAACCTGAATTTCACTTACCAAAAACTTTCATCAATTCATCATCACAAATGGCAAACTGTTTGTTCTTGGGATCCTAAAAAAAAAAAGAATCAATCTAGTTTTGTTCTTTAAGTATTGCAAAAACACAAAATTATAAAAAACACTTACATAAAGATTTCGCTCCTTAATGATCGCCCAAACTTTGCGTACAACTTCATGCCGGGCCATTGAATCCTGTCCCACCACTGCTGCCAATTCTGGACTGAGGTTGTAAGCTCTGGTGTAACCTCCACCACCACCACCTCCACGCTTTCCCTAAAAAAACAGAACAATTAGCTACAATATATAACAAAATTACAAAGAAATAAAACTATAAAAGATATATTCAAACTTACACCACCACCGCCACCACCCCCCTTCTTTCCACCGCCGCCGCCACCACCACTTTTTCTTGGCTTGGCCCAGTCTTCATCACTATCGCTATCGCTTCCCTTCTTCTTCTTAGCTGCAGGTTTCCCTTTCTTAGCTCCTCCCTTAGATTTCTTTGATGGACTATATTCTTCATCACTGGCATCCTGTAAAAAAAAAAACAACAACAAAAAGTAGTTTGCCAACAATTTCCACTGTAAATAAGGAGTCATTTATTTTATTTTTTTCCCTCACATCATCTGAGCCTTCATCACTCTCCTCACTGCTACCCTTCTTAGCCCGTTTTGCAGGTTTCTTGCCACCGCCTCTTTTGGGTTTGGGCTTCTCCTCCTCTTCTTCCTCCTCCTCCTCTTCATCTTCTTCTTCCTCATCTTCCTCTTCGTCGTCATCTTTACTGTTCTTTTTCTTTGAATTATCTTTACCTTTTCCATCTTGTTTCTCTTGTAAACATTCCATGACCAAGTCGTCAATCTCTTTTTTTCTGTGTTCCAAAAAAATAAATATTTGGTTAAAAATCATTAAACTAAAACTCATTTATGAACAAGATTATGTATAGCATAATCTATAACCAATTTCAATCAAAAGTTAATTAGGCTGCGAGATCAGTTTCAGAAATGTATGGAAAAAATTACCTATCAGTGAGATCTACATCCAATTTCTCCTCAACCTGCTGTCTCACTTTTTTGGCTGACATAGTTGTAAGGTCAGCATCCTTAAGGATTGCTGAAATAAATACCATCAGACGAAAAATTAGATTCACATCAATAAAGCTTAAAAAAACGCTTATTTAAAAAAAAGAAAATATAAATTTTATTAAAAAATATCCAATTACTTTTTCTAGTAAATATAAGTTCATTTGCAATTAGTAACTTCTAGTTTTGCACCATCAACACTCGTAGCGCGGGCCGACATCCATGGCAGACTCTTATGCCTACCTTGCAATGAAGGACAAAGCCTCGTAACTAATATCAAAATGAACTGCTGAAAGTACTATCGGTAATGCTAATTTTCAGTTACTGAGTTTTAGTATATATTTTCACAAATTAATTACGTAAAAATCAGATACCGCGCATTGCGTATTTTCCCATCTATAAAAATATTTGTTGATGCACAATGCCCAAACGGTGCCATGAAGCCATTTGGCCGCATTCAAAACACAACGGTAGAGAAGGGAAGCTACAAGAGTGAAAATAAAGAAATCCCTTATACAACCCACCAAAATACATATTTTAAATTAATCCTAATTTTTTTACAAAGCGAGTTCGAGTATTATTAGCGATTAGGCAACTCCACACATAAAGATAAATCAATTTACCGGTAATTTCCTTGCGAAGATCTTCCTTCTTAATGTCTGCCATCTTCTCCAGTGAGTTCAATTGTGCCAACCTCGCTACGTTTACAATTCTTCACGAACTCGACGTCGAAAATTCCTTAAAACAAGATTGTTTGGCAATCTTAAATAGAAAGTCCCACTCACAACGTTCTAATATAATGTCTAACACCAATTCGTTACGACAAGCACTGCAACAATAATAGAAAGTACTGGAGGTGTATTCTACGACTTCATCTCTAATGAGCGTCTGTACGAATACCAATAGCACCCACATAAAATTTTATTATAATGTGTGATTTTTAAACAATTATAATAATAAATAAATTGACACGGAAATTTTCTGTTCATTCAATTTTTTAAAACAAGAAGAATATGTAATATTTTAGATAGTCCCGCTCGTCCCTTTCTCAATCAATGTACTTTCTAGTATACATTAAACTATATTTAATTATTTCAAGTTCTTTTACATATTTTATTAACAAATAAGAATATATTTGTAATCAATGACCAACATATTATTACTATTTTCTGAAAAATATTTGTTACTGCAAGTAATTAACTTCTTTCACGAATTCAGATATTCTTTTATGTACAGTACTTCCTTTCCAAGTTTGCCAACCAACATTCAGCGTCTTGCTTCAAATTTTGATGTACAAGAATAAGTATACTATTTTTATAAACAGACTGCTACCTTGTCCGATTTAATTAATAATTGTAATAGAAAATTTTCTATATCATTTTTATTTTATTAAAAAAGTATTTATGGAGACATAGATGACGACATCGATTCACAAACTCTCGTTTGGTGCTGCACCCCATCCCCAGTGACAAGAACTATCAGAAGCGGGAAACATTATTAAACCATTCAACTTTAAGCGAGAGTTGAGAAATAACAGCTTTGAGTAATACATGGAGATGTACGGGCTCATGCAATAGTTCAGGAAAATATGGATATATTAACTTCTACAGAATTATCTGCTATGGAACTCGGTTTAACAGTATGCCATTTTAGATATATGATTTATTGTCGTTTACTTATGATCTTTTAAAGAGAAATAAAAACCATATAATCTTGCAAACCTTATTAATCTAGCCAATTTTTTTTCTTTTCATCTCTCCTTTATTAAGAAAAAGTTTAGTTCCTTAAAAGCACACACTTAAGGAAATCTCATTTTACATATAACTATGAAAACTGGTTTTTTCTTCAACAAAGAATATTAAGAAATTTATTTTCAGAACTTAATTTTGGGATTCTTTAAGACTTACATAATATATATGAAAATTGTACATTACATATTTCATAGCCTTCATGTAATAAACTGGATATGAAAGAAATAATTTTCAATACAAAACTTAAATTAATTTTAAGGGGTGCCCAGAGAAAACAATAGGCTTGGGGCAGAAGATCTAATATCATCAGATATAAATCATTGAGAGACATTGTGAAGATGCTCCAAAACTGACAGGTACATTTATTGATTCCCTGCAAACCTGTATCTTCATATCTAAGAAAGGACTAAAAGCACATTACCTGACACCACTAATAACTGCTGTTATTGTCCCTGTAGCAGCATCATTTTCTAATTTCGTTCTCAAAGTACAGGACCTTTATTTTATATCACGATTCATGTTTGAGTGTACCTGCTCTTGATGTGTTAATTTGGAAATCATGTATCTTTGCTGTCAGTCAATACAGCTGTGGCTGGCACGCTAGGACAGCTGAGGAGGTGCGAACCAGAACATAAACTGCAGTAACTTTCCTGTTTCTTTGTTTTTCCCATTCAAGACTCGTATGGTAAAGTCAGATAAGGTACGGCCTGTAGGTCAGAACCCTTCTGCGCTGGGTGAGGCAAGGCTGATTGGGGTGGGCTTGGCTGGAACATTAGTGAGAATAAAATCCAAGTTTCTGCGATTCATTTTAGTATGCTCGAGAACCAAACCTGATATTGATGATGTGAAGGTAAATTTGACAGATTTATCTATTTATTAATCAAGACAAAATAATAATTATGTATTGAAAGCCATCTCAGATCAGAAAGATATATTGTAAAACATCATCTCCAAGCGCTTCATTAATAATGACAAAAATATGTAACCTGCAACCTGGAAAATAATCATTTAAGAAAATATTAATAAAATTAATACAAACATTTATAAAGTATTAATAAGTCATAAATAAATAATTATTGAAAATAATTGATAAACTATTAATAAAACTATTTTTGCTCTTTAAAATGACAATTTTGGTAATACTTCTTTCCTTGTCAGGTCTTGTAATAAGTTATGTACAATATTTCCAAAAATATGAGTAGTTTTTACATAATTTTGCACGAAATACTGCAATTAAAAACAAAAATATATATATTTAAGAGCTGTGCCTAATTTCTTCTATAAACTTTTACTTGGCTAGATCAAAGATTGGGAAAAAAAAGACGCATATCACATTTTTGGCAAACTGTATTTTCGAAAATTGCAAAAGTACAATAATATAATGATAAATTATTGTGTTCAATAAAATGTGTCTTAAAAATTAGACAAAAAAGGTCATGCATAATTTTTTGAAAATCGAATTTCTGCTTGAAGGTAATGCAATTTACAAACTTTTTTTTTATGTCTCCAAATGTTTTGTCTATATTTTTCCATGGATAGGGCAAAGAATTCCAAAACTTAATACATTTTTGTTGAAATTATGAATTTTCCAAAATTGCAGAAGTTAAATATACATGCTGTTGTAGCATCACTTATTTTTCAGGTGGAGGAGGGGAGAACAGTTACTTTTCAGAGGTTGTTGAAACCTTGTTTGGTCATTTCAAGTTCATTCACCTAAATGAAGATGTAATTTTTAGTTAAACATTTTTAAAGTACATTGATTACTTCTAACATATTTTAAATTGTAGTGTAGAGAAAGTAATGGAAAACGATTTTATCATAATCCATTTTTTTGGGGTCCTCAATTCTTAATAAGTGTTTTTCCCTTTAGTTCATGTGTAGAAAACTCTTTTCATTTTAAACATAAACAGATTTATTTTACAATGGATATTCTGTGAGCAATCTGACCCAACTTGAGGTCTTTCTACTTTGGAAGGAAACTTAATTTTTGGATTTTCTTCATATAAAGCTCATACTTCATTTACAAGATTTTATCAACAAAATTCAATATATTTCTAATATTGCATGTTTTGATAGAACACAAAATTTGGAACAAAATGCAAAAGAAATGGAAGTTTCTGTGTCAATGGGAAGTGCATCAAAATCTGAAGCACTGAGTATGCATTTTCATATTGTTGTCATCCCTATTATTGTGCGTGAGTGTGTGGTTATTAACAAAAAAAGATTACAATTGCTTAAATCCAGTTGGTCCAGTATTGAATAGCCCACCTAATTTACAAGTACAAACACTCCAATGAAGTTTTACAACACAATGGCAGTTCCAATGAAAACCTATGGGTGCGAAAATTGGGCCCTCAATAGTTAACCTTGGACTGCCATAATATTCCCTGATTAAAGAAGTCTAAGAAATCTCATTTCTGTGACTTCTGTTTTCCTATTATCAGTTCTATTTTTCACATCCATAAGTTTTCATTGGAAGTGCCGTTGTTATGTAAAACTTCAGTGGAGTGTTTGAACTGAGGGTGTTTTGTATCGTTCTGCACATTATCTGAAATTTCTGAATTTTTATGTTAATGTCATTCTTTTGACAGTATGAAAAATTGCAACTGAGGTAGTTAAAGTTATTTACTTGTTCAATATCGTTACCGTGAATTACTCAGAAAGTCAGTGCCATTCTGTAGCACCACAAGTTTGCATAATGTGCTTGAATTTTATGCAATTTCTAAAGAGAATATTTTCTCAAAAACCACTCCAGTTTTTTTCTTAAAATTTTTTCCACTGATGGGAGAAGGGACAGTTAAAATTCGTCGAACTTAATTTGTTGAAAATTCAACTTTCAAAAATTGCAAATTTAGAAATTGCAGATTTAAGTTTTACGTAACAACGGCACTTCCAATGATAGCTATTTAGACATTCGAAGTACATTTAAAAACTTTTTTTTAAATTTCTTCGGTTTTGGTTTAATTTGTTTGTTTGATAGTATATTAATAGTAGAACGAAAATTATATTTTTCACTTTGATACAGTAGCACCCAACCCGTTCAGCCGATTTTCTCCAAAATTGATATTCACTGATCGATCGGATTGAACTGGATAAGCTCCTAAAAAATATGTAGGATTTTTTCCAAATTGAAAAAACCCTGGTCATGTGGCTCAAGTCGATTCTTTGAGATTTTGACAAAAATTCTTCAAAATTTGGGGGTTCTTTGCATGACATTTTCAATTTTTTTTCAAAAAACGGCTCCAAATTTTTCTTTATATTTCTAGTAAGAATAGTGGTTAGTTATTAGTATTATACTAAATAATGAGTTCAGCTTTGTTTTTGCTCTCTGTGATTTTGTTTTTATTTGTCTTTTAACGTATTTGAAAAACTGATGTGCCCTCTGTTTATACTCTGATAAGAGTACATTGTAAAAAAAATTCCTGTGCAGCCAGTTTCTCTGGGAGAAGCGCCCAAGGGAGAATGTTTTCCCTTATTTTTTCCTGTATTTCTCGCGCGCTTTCTGCAAGCTGTTCTAACTTTTTGATTTCAGTTTCCATATCTTTTCATTATAGTTCTTGGAATGTGGGTTCGTTTTAAGATATTTCTGTGGTACGAAACGCTCTCTTCCCTCAATCAAAATATTTTTTCAGATTTCCTCTACGCTGCTTCCCATTCTACACCATTGCGTAGTGTAGTTTGCTCTCAGATGTTCTTGTAAACCCATCGAATTTACTTCATGATAGTGATAGACCTTTGCAGGTTTAGAATCTTTGACACGAGAAATATTTCCTGCTATTTCTTAGGGCGCTTTCCCACGTTGCGACGGCGGCGCGCTTCCGTTAAGCAGCAGTCCTTCCGACGCCGCCACCGCTGAACCACGGCCGCACCGCCGCCCGCCGTGGAACGGGGTGGGTTCTGCAGAGGCAGGTTTCGCCGACCCTCCGGCGACGACAAAGGGACCGCAGAAGGTAAGACGCAGCTACCGGCAAATAATGTTAATATGATTGAATTAACATGATATGATAAAATAAAAGATAGTTATCAATTTCAAGTAACGATTTGAATTTCAAACTTTACGAAATTTCTCCTTAACAGTCAGTTGGATTTGCTACTTTTTGAATGGTATATTTGCTCCTCTTTAAGCATCACACAATTCCATTAAAATTGGATTTGTTAGATGCGTAAATGTTGCCTCAGTAACAAAAGTTTGCACCAAG